CAGTTGCAGCCATCTGCTTGGATGGTGGGTTCCTGCTCTGGGCTTGGCTGGAGTGGTTCACCAGGACTCCATGGGTGCCAAGCAGCAGGAGCTTGAAAAGAGCAGGCTGTGTGTCTCAACACACACTGACTGCAGATTTTATCAGGAGCCCTCATTCTGCACGACTGCAGCAGCATCACGCACAGATCCTTGGTTTGCCGGCGTGTGGTGATGCTCACATGTCAAAGCAGGGACAAATAAAACAGATTTCGAGGGACTCTGTTCCTGCCAAAATGCAGTGCAGTGGGGCACCTCAAACTTCAGTCCAAATGTCCTCAGGAGAGCCACCTCCTGAGATTTCTAGATGAATAGGAAAAATCACTGCCTTTTCACCACCCACTGAATCAGCTGGAATTTATGGCATAAAATTGCTCAATCAATTCCAGAATGGGGGAAGTCAGTCAGAATACCTAATTACATGGTTATTGAATATGGACAGAGCATTCTTTAAAAAAAAAATAAAATGTAACTGTGCCACAGAAGTGGAGAGATCTGCGTAGCTGGGAGGCAGTGCAGCTGTAAGGAATTTTATTCAGATGCTGTGTGGCTCACTTTCAGTTCTGTTGGACACTTAACAACAAATTTATTTCAGTTTAGGAAAAAAACAGCCCGTGGTGATTATTTCACTAGGTCTTCAATATATTAATTCTGGTTCTTACCTTGCTTAACATTTTTTTATTCATTTTTTCTAAAAAGTTTTTCAGAAAAAAAAAAAAAAAGGAAATGCAGTAATTCTGTACCTAAATGAAACAACAGTGCAGATACACCAGAAGTGTAGTCATTGCATCACTGCTGTTCTCATTTGTGTTGCTGGGGAATGACTGTGAATAGCATTAGAGGGTTTTAAGGTTAATGTCCAACCCCACAGATTTCTGGAGACCCACCTTGCTGTCTCTGTAAGACAGATGCTTTTACAGGGCCCCCAGGAGGAGACACTGTAGGTGGTGTTGGACACAGATCTTCCCTTTGCCAAAGCACTGTGTTTTATTTTTTTTTCTTTTAACTAGAGAAAATTGTGCACACTTCTCCATCCTTCCTTGTTTTAAAGTGTTACATTTGGTCTTTCTGTCAAAGATCTGCTGTTATCTGTCTTTTTTCCCTAAGAAGCCCAGTTTCTTCTGGCATGTAACTGTCTTTACTCCTGTGTTTTTTAAACATGTCTCTATGTCCTTTTTTTTTTTTTTCTTATAATTTGTTTCATCTCCTATATCCCTGATCTTTAACACAAGCATGCTGGTGACTGAATAATGCCACTACCAACTCCCAAACGAGTAGGAATAAAGCTGATTTTTTTTTTTATTTATGCATTGATAAAATTGCTTTGGAATTATAAAACAGAGCAGGTTTCCTGTAGGGGGATACAGTATGGGTAAATGAAGGTGGTATAGAATGTAATCTTATCCCCTAAAGAGTTGCAGCTGAGCCAATTACTAGAGATTAGGAGCAGGCCTGATCTTAACAGGGCACAGCTGTAGCCAATAAGAAGAGTGTTATAAAAGAGTGGGTTGGTTGGTTGGGGGATCTGGAGTCAGTTGGCTGCTGTGAGGACAAGGAGGAGTCAGTGCCTAGAGGAGATGCCTACGAGAAACATCAAGGAGGTACAAAACTCTGGCAATATGGAACCCTTGCAGTATAATGACAATAGAACACTTGCACTATGTGACAACAGTTTCTAGCTGATCACACAACTCCCGAGTGATCTGCCTCTACCTCTACCTAGACATGACAGCAGGGGTTCAGGTGAGAAGGTGCTCTTTCCCTTCTTAGCTGGCATTGGCCATGGTGAGGGACAGCCTGTGCCCAGAGAAGCAGTGCCCAAGCCCTGGGAATGGCTGCTCCACTGGGACAGTGGCCAGAGTGCCCTGGAATCCCTGCAAAGTGTTTGATAATGCATTCCAAAGAATTATTGCATCTGTTGTTTTGGCCTTTTCCAGCATTACCTGTCAGAGTTTTCTGAGGTTACTCATTGAAGCAAACACTCTCCACCTCTCCCATTTCCAAGAAGCCTTTACCCTTGGCTAGACAAAGGATGACATTGCCGTGTCACTAATCTTGCCGATTTTCACAGTGTTTGATAAATGCTTCTGAACAGATTTCATCACATCCAGCAGATTTAATGCTTCTTTAGATAAGGCAAGTGCCTAACAGTAACACTTTCCTCAGTCAATTCAGCTACAAGTAAATAGTGTGTGTGATTATAGGATTAAATCTGAAGCAAAAGCCTGGTTTTGTAAGCAGTTAAAAATCTCTTGTTGAAGCTCTTCTTTCTCTCACTTGCTGTAGAAAAGGGACTCATTTTCCCTTGACAGGTTTTCAGTTATAAAAATTGATTGTATGCTTAAAAAACCAGGTTCTTGGGAGAGCTTTAATTTCCTCTTGAAAGGATCATTTTTTAAATGGAAGTGCACTTGATTTTGGAAAATTTCAATTTTATTTATTCCAAATCTCCCTGCACATCTATTTTTCCGCTCGATCCATTTTTCCTTTTCATACTCGTGGAAGTTGCCATAGCTACCTGTAAATTGCTGGTGTTTTCTTCCCCCAATTAAATCTCAGTAGTTATGAAGAAAAATGTTGTTACTTTTAGCAATAAGAGATTTCCTCTCCAGCCCCTTACCCCCTTGTTGATTGTGCCTATTAAAGCAGCAATAATATTTCTCTGACTCATCCTTACCTGATGATTCAGAACCTCAGACATGAGACTCCAAACTCAGAAATTACCACAGTGGGTGTTAATATCTGTGTGGGAAAGGGTGAAGCTTGGAATCTATAGTGCCCAACATGTAACATGAGGCTCTGGGAGAGCATTCCTCTTTCCTAATGTGGCCCTCCATCATTTAATACTGACAGAGACCTCGGAGCTGCTCCCCAGCACTGGAAGGGTCTCAGGTGTTGCGGGTGTTCCCCAGTGATGCCTTGTGCAGGCTGACCTAGAACTGAGGCCAGACAGAGTTAAAGAATAAAGTAGGGATTTATTAAAAGGCCTCAATGCATCCACCTTGGGCAGCACAAGAGCCCAGCCAGGGCTGCACCCAAAATGAACCAAAATGAACGACCAGTTGCTCAGTCTCTCACTTTTGAAGTTCTGGTCCATTTGCATATTGGAGTTAATTGTCCAATTACAGCTTTAGGTTATGAAGTCCCATCCTTCTTGTTTTTCTCTCTTCATTCCACATTGTTTGTGCTCTTGGGCCTGAGATTTGGATCATTTGTCCTTGGTCCCCAGCTAGAGAAGGAATTGTTTTGTCTCCCTACTCTGTGCACAGAGCTCACCATCTCCTAATATGAAGCTCAGAACTACACACTAAAGCAGCACAGAATCTGACAATATAAAAGCTAAAACTTGAGGCATCACAGGGAAACACCCAAGCATTCAAAAAGGGAAGGAAGGAGGATCTGGAAAACTCCCAGCCAGTCAACCTTAGTCTTTCTGGAAGTTTTGGAGTGACTCACCCTAGAAGCCTTGTGCTAAATTCTGTACTGCACAGGTGGTCTCACTCCTTGTCCTCCCTGGCGTTTTATGCATTTGCACATATTTGAGTGGATATCCACAAAGTGGGATATCCAGTTTAATGTGGCAGGGAGGTAGAGCTCAAGGTGAGGTTGCAATCCACTTGCTGCCCTTGGCTAATTTTCTTCCAAAAAGAGAACCAAAAACTTTGCTATTGATCCCCCTGCAAGAAGTGAACAAAATTTTTATTATTTCATCAGAGAAAAGAAAGCCACAGCAGTTCAACTTTCTCTCCTCTCAGACAGCTCCATTTTTAACTCCATAGTTGAGGCAAATAAAAACCCTTCCTTAGATTACACGGTTTAGTGATAACATATCACACCAAGCATAGCCCAAAACACTGTTGGAGTGGCTTCCTAAAACTTATCAGACTTCCCAAGCCATGATTTACCCAGGCACTCCCTTGAAAATTTCAGCAATGAATCGAACTTATTGTTTTCTGTTTCTATGGAAATAGAGCAGGAGCTCTCAGGAAATTATCTAGTTTGTCTCAGCTGATGAACAGATGAGGGAAACACCATCCCAAACCTGAGAGCTGGTTCAGAGCCCACACAGGGTGAGAGCTTTAGTCTGAGTCTGATGTTTAAAGGAAGCTGCACAGCAAGGCAGGGTTTGAGGGCTGTGTCACTGCCTGCCGGGCTGTCTGGGTTACACTGATTAATTATATGAATATTTCTGTGACATATTTCTTTGGAAAATGCAACGGAATCATTTATTCTTCCTGTGAGGGTGGTGAGGCCCTGCCACAGCTTGCTCAAAGCAGCTGTGGCTGCCCTATCCCTGAAAATGTCAAAGGCCAGGTTGGACAGGGCTTGGAGCAGCCTGGGATACTGGAAAGTGTCCTTGCCCATGGCAGGGAGGTGGAATGAGATGAGCTTTGAGGTCCCTTCTAACCCAAATCTCTCTGTAATTCCATGATTCTATGGCATAAACAAATGTTGCTTCTGAAATACCCAGTGTGGTTTCAGTGTGCTATGGCCAAAACCAACACAGACCATATTTACAGACTTGTTTTCTATATATACAGGTGCAAAGGATGGACAGACAAACACGTGGCTGTACCAGCATTTGATTTGGTGGCTCTTACTTCAATTTAAAAAAAATAAATTAATTCATATATGGGGGGTGTTTCATAAAGCAGTATCCTTGTAGCCTTGGCTGTGGCTTGATCTACAGCACAGGCAGCTTTTAGAAACATTTGCAGTGCTCACAGTATGTGCAGCAGCACCTAAAGCCCCTTGGAAGGTGCAGGTTGCTGGTGTAAAGGGGCCTTTCTGAAAAATACCTGGTATTTTCTTCGTGGGAGATGAAATAACTCACTGAAATAATGGGATTACAGCCTTTATATAATTTTAAGTGAAGTCAGTTTTGTAGTTAACGTTCTTGACAAGGATTGTATCTGTTTTAAATGATGGTTTATTTTAATGTTTTTTTTCACACTGCCATGCAGGTACCCAAGGGAAACCCTCCCTTAAATGAGCAGAGCACCTCCATTCCATTTGTGCTGGACTTCCCTGGTAAGTAGAGAACATGATCTTCACTTCCCTGGAACAAGTGCAGACATGTTAGTAAACCTGAATATTTGAATTAAGCAATGCTGGAACAAAAAACATGCTGAAAAACACACATCCCAAATTTAAAATGCCAATAGCAACACTGTTGTTATTTATCTATTTTTCCTAGAATTATTTTCTATTCTTCAAATGTGACAGGCTCAAGTGTGGGGCCTGGAAGATTTTACCAAATTTAAAGGACATGGGAATTCTAGCATTGCCACAGTGAAATTTGATACTATTTCATCCCTTTGCTCACATGATTTGCCACTATTTAATTTGGAAAACTGACTGATCCCTTTTCTCTGATGTCTGTTTTCACCATCTTCAAATCTTCAGGAAAAAAAAAATCTATAAGAATTTTTCGAATAAGTAAGCCTTGTAGGGTTTTGGGAATCTCAGCTTACCCTTTAGATGTTTGACAGGCTGGAGAATATATTCATGTATAACAACAAAAGGAAATGATGATACATCTTCTCTCCTCTGAAATACTGTCTGCCTAAAATGAGACTTTTAAAAAGAACACTGGAAAGAAAACCTTGTAAAAAGCTTATTTCCTTTTGACAAGGTATAAAGTGGCTTTCTCTTTTTGTTTTTTTTTTTTAAGGAAAAGGAACAAATTCATTTTTCCTGTTTAGACTAATTTGAGGTGGAGTAGAAGGAATATAATGGCTTAATTATTTGCATGGTAATTTTTGCTTTTCTGCAGCAGAGTGAGCATGTGTGTATGAAAAGCTTTATTAATAATTCCCAGGTGTGTGGCAGAAAAAACAATCTGTGTCAGTCAAAATATCCAAGTTATTTGTTTCATTACATGCAATATAATTGCATTTCATCCTTCTGGCTTCAAGAGCTGAATCTGGTACTGCACTTCTTTTTACTGGATGCTGCAGAAGAGAGATAATTGAGCTTGAGTAAGTGAATTTTGAATTTTGTTGTGGAACATCAGCTTGCCCAGCTGTGCCAGGGAGTGACTGTGAAGTTCAGGTCTGGATTCTGAGTTGAGATATTGTCTCTGATACTTTTGCTCAAGTTGTGCCTTCAAGGGCACTACCAGGAAAGCTGAAGTCACAAATGTGGGGCAGCAATCCCACCTGGGCAGGTGTGCCTTCCTTTTCTGCCTGAATGCAAGCAGGGAGAATGCAAACAGGGCTGCAAAGAGAAAATCACTGCCCTGGGCAGAGCCACACAACACACACACAATAGCCTGTCCTGCCTTGTAAGGCCCCCATTGCTGGCCACACACAGGTGCTTAATTGGGACAGGATCAAGGGCGGAAGGCTGTTGGGTGTTTTCAGGCAGATCTGGGTGAGACCAGCTGGAATTTGCCTCACCAGCTTCACCTGGCCTTCCCCCAGAGCTGCAGCCCATCAGCCCCAGAAGGTTCTTTAAACTCCAGCCTGAGGGCTCAGGTTTGGGTAGAACTGGTTTAAGGGTATCTGCTCCCTGTCCTTTGCTGAGTTATTGTTTGGATTTCCTGGAGTGATGTGGCTGAGGATCACTGGATGGGTTTTGTTGCTGCCATCATCCTGGACCAGGAGTCCCACCTGTGAGGTCAGTGCATTTAGTTTGAAGTACAGAGCAATGGAGTGGCTTAATATAAACTGATTTTCTGAAACACAGAGCAGGACAAATGTGTATTGCCTCTTTCAGAGTGCTTAGATGTTAAATTTGTGCCTGGAATTTAGCAGGTTTACTTGGTAGCAGTTGGTTGGTGGCATTTCGGTGAGTGCTACAGCACAGCTGTGTGTCTTCAGTGAAATAGAAATCATCTGAAGTTTTGTACTGGATTCAAATGAAGTGTGGTCAAGTGATACATTCCTATGCAAGGTGTAATGGCTGAGCATTTCAAGATAATTTTTGTGTGTATGGGAAAGTCAAACTATCTAGTTACTACCTTACACAGTGTTTTTCTTCTGAAACAGTTTTAAGCCTGGCATGTGCAGATTCAATTCACCACCTACTTGAATGAATCAGATTTGGTAGGAAAGTCACTGAGCTTGCTCTTCTGAGAGCTGTACGAGTGTAAACTGTCAGGAGGCTACAATTCCCTCTTTTCTCAATGAGTGGGGCACACACTGCTTTTCCTAGGGAGGGCTAGAGTCTTCAGAGAGACTTTTTAAATTCCCAGGCTGTGCTGTCACACCCTGCTGAGCTTTTGGCTTGAAAACTCAGTTGCTGTTCATATTTCCAGATCATAACTTGCATCTGCTGTGGAGCTCTGAGTGTTGGGATGGTGCTGGATGCTCGTTGTTATTTCTGGGTGCTCTGGGAGGTGGCAGGACAGCAGCAATGTGGAGTTTTGCCTTACAGCCCTCTATAAAAGAGTTTATAATTCAACTCAGAGCTGCACCTGCTCAGCTACTGTTTGTGAGCAAAGGGGCACTCAGGGCTAGCAGTAACATTCTGAGAAGATGCACACATATAAAAAAAAATCTCTTTAAAATACCAATTTAGAAAGCAGGTTTCTAGGGACAATCCTTGCATGTTGTTTTCTGGCTTCTTTTGTCAAGCCCAATATTTGATCCTAGCTGATACTAGCCTACTTCTTTCTGCTGAAGGCAATTTACTCTTCACAGAGGACAAGTGTCCTGTGATTTGAACAAAGTTCCTTTCTAACCAAGCTGGCTTTCCCTCAGGAAAAAAATATCCCCCCTATCCTACACAGCCATTGGACTTGCGTTGGTGTCCTTAAGTGGTTTACTGTAAAATAAAGCTCACACAAAGATCCCACGTGGAAAAGATCCACTTGCAAAGAGCTGTATTGATGGTCCTTTGATTTGTCTGGTGTATTTTTGAGATGTGGCTTTTTTTTGACATTTTAGCTGCCTGTTATGCCATGATGTAAAGCACAGTGACAGCTATATTTACACTAGCTGTAAATCTGATTCTGTAAACACCAGATGAAACTTAAACTTGGACACACATTCCCAAACTGTCACTACTGTGACAACACAGTTCTGTCCAGAAATGCAATGAAACTGGTTAAATCTGCAGGGCTGTTTAAGAACCTTGGCTCATAAACTTTAGGGACGGGGCATACAGTGCACCAGATCTCGATATTTTTTGGTGTCTTAATATATGGATGGATGCATTCTTAGCAGAATCATCCCTGTTGCTGGAGATGTAGAAAGCCATAAGGGAAATTGTAAGACAGTAGGATTGGGAGAGGTGAGGGTGGCACGTTGTTCTCTGGTGGTTTGTTCCATAGGCTGTGACTAATACAACAGGATTATCCTAGAGACCTGATAGAAGATGTTGTCAATTTAAGTTTCTAAGCCAACTGAGGCTCCACACTCACACTTCTCTCCCCACCTGCTCACAAACACTGAGATGACCTCGAGTGGGCTGGGTGGGATTTCTCCCACGTGACAGAGCCAAGCAAGGCCAGCTCTTGAATATGCATTGCATCCCTGGGTTCCTTCTGAATGCCAGCTCATAAAATCACATATTCCTGAGTAATGAATAAATTATACTGATCTAAATAAATGATACTGTTTCAGCTCAAGGCCCTGCAGCTGTGAAGGGTAATGGGCTGGCACAGAACCATTCCTTTTAGAAATGGTGTGGGATAGGGCTAGGCTTGCTAAACCAGGCTTCTGCAGGGTGTGGAAAGGATGGAAGAACTGGTTTTAGGAAGTGGTTACCTTCTTAGTGGTGAAGTGTATTCCACATACTCCTCCCAAACTGGTGGCAGTGGAATCAAGCAAAGAGAAACCACACGCATAAATAAAGCATTTTGGGGTGTGGAATACCAAGGGTTGTAGAGGTCAAGAAGCACAAACAACTTATTTGAAGCCTGAAGCATTAAAATTGATAACTTTTAACTTTTAAGTTTCAATTTCCCCTTTTTATTATGTTGCCCTGCTTTGTTAACATTCTTTAATCTCTAGTAAATTTTATTGCATGCAATAGAAAAATTGAGACTCCTGCAAAAGGGCTTCAAGAGGGCTTTGTTTTTTTAAGGCCCTATGGTTCATTTAATTTGGGTTTTGGTGGTGGTGGTTTTGGTTGTAGTACTATGGAAATGATGCACATTCTGTAGAAATGCATGTAAGTACATTAAAGGTTGTAAGTCATTAAATGGGAATATCAGGGAAAAGATGCTTGAAGGGAAATGCCTGCTAAATAATACAACTATTAATAATACATAATAATAATAATTTATAGTAATAAAACATTATTTTTCAAGTGAAGAAAACAATTTTCTCAATCTAAAAATGATAATTACAGAAAATTATTCCACTTGAACGGGATATTGGTGGAATGAGCAAATAACAGGAAACGTGGGAACAGCGGGGGTTGTTCAGATATGAGTGAGTGAAGGTCACAATGGCCAGATCCCAGCATCAATTGCACCCATCTGGAAAGTTTTCTATCTTCTTGAGATAAAGAAATGCTTCTTTGAGAGATTTCATGAGTCTGTATTTAAGTGACTCAAACTTTCCAAAACCGACCTTGTACAAATTCTGGGGTCTAGTGGGAGTTCCATATGTTTTTTTTTTTATCTGATAATAGATATTTAAATAAGAAATTTAGTATTTTTCTGCTGTTTTTAAACTAATTCTTCTCACAGCAAAAGTAATCACTTTCAGGGAAAAGTACAAATTTATTTTTTTGGAACATTACCTTCAAGTGCCATAATCATAATAGATGTACAAAATAACTGTTAAGGGATCTTTAAAAACAAATGCAAAAGCTGATTTTTCTTGGATGCATTTTTTTACTTGATAGAGTTTGTTAAGATACTTTAAGTTTCCACAAAACTTGCATGTAATGCATATTCAATATATGTATTATATGTCAATATAATACATATTCAAGATATGTATTATATGTAACTATAATGCATATTCAATATATGTATTATATGTCATTATAATGCATATTCAATATATGTATTATATGTCAATATACGTAGTATATGCGGATTATATATCTCAATACATTGCTGAGAAGTTTGG